AGAATTCTATCAAGCCTGTAAGGCAAGATTTACCCTCCCTGAACCCATGTTGATGGGATGTCACAAAGTCTCTTCTCTCCAGATGTGTTACTAGGTTTTTTATCACAATCTTCTCCATCACCTTGCATGGTATACAAGTTAAGGACACTGGCCTGTAGTTCAGTGCCTCTTGTCTGTCACCCTTTTTAAATATTGGTACTACATTAGCAGTCTTCCATACTTCTGGTAGGTCTCCCGTTTCCAGTGACCTACTATACACTATGGAGAGTGGCAAGCAAAGTGCTCCTGCACACTCTTTCAATACCCATGGTGAGATTCCCTCCGGCCCAACAGCTTTTCTCACATCCAGCTCCAATAGGTGCTTCTTGACCTCATCTCTTGTAATTTCGAACCTTTCCAAGGTCACCTGGTTTGCTGCCACCTCTCCTAGCGCCGTGACTTCTCCCTGTTCTATTGTAAAGACCTCCTGGAACCTTTTGTTGAGTTCTTCACACACCTCTTTGTCATTCTCTGTGTACCTGTCCTCGCCCACCCTAAGTTTCATCACCTGTTCCTTCACTGTTGTCTTCCTCCTGATGTGACTGTGTAGTAGCTTTGGTTCGGTCTTGGCTTTATTAGCTATATCATTTTCATACCTTTTCTCAGCTGCTCTTCTCACACTAACATACTCGTTCCTGGTTCTCTGGTATCTCTCTCTACTTTCTGGTGTTCTGTTATTACGGAAGTTCCTCCATGCCCTTTTGTTCAGCTCCTTTGCTTTCATACATTCCCTATTAAACCACGGATTCTTCCTTTGCTTCTCTGTTTTTTCCTGTTGGGCTGGGACAAACCTGCTTACAGCCTCCTGACATTTTTGGGTGACATAGTCCATCATGTCTTGTACGGACTTGGTTCCGAGTTCTGTGTCCCAATGTATATCCCATAGGAATTTATTCATCTCCTCATAGTTTCCCTTTCGGTACGCCTGCCCTTTGTTTCCCAGTTCTTTTTTGGGGGTGATAATTCCTAGCTCAACCAGGTACTCAAAGCTCAATACACTATGATCACTCATTCCCAAGGGGGCTTCCAACTTAACTTCCCTTATATCCGACTCATTTAGGGTAAATATCAGATCAAGCAAGGCTGGTTCATCCCCTCCTCTCGTTCTTGTCGATCCCTTGACGTGTTGACTTAGAAAGTTTCTTGTTGCCACATCCAGCAGCTTAGCTCTCCATGTGTCTGGGCCTCCATGTGGGTCTCTGTTCCCCCAATCTATCTTTCCATGGTTGAAGTCTCCCATGCTTAGTAGCCTGGATCCGTTCCTGCTAGCCACAGAAGCTGCTCTCTCTATTATATTGATGATGGCCAAGTTGTTTCTATCATATTCCTGTCTGGGTCTTCTGACATTCGGTGGGGGGTTATATATGACTACTACTTTAATTTTCTGTACTCCAGTTGTTATGGTGCCTGATATGTAGTCACTGAAACCTTCACAGTTCTGAATTACCATCTCTTCAAAACTCCAACCTTCTCTTAGTAGCAAAGCTGCACCACCTCCTCCTCTCCCGTCTCTCTCTTTCCTCACTACATAGTAGCCCTGAGGAAACACTGTGTTTGTTATGGTGTTTGTTAGCTTTGTTTCTGTGAGTGCTATTATGTCTGGGTTTTCTTCTAGTGCCCATTCTCCGAGTTCACTTGTTTTATTTGTAATTCCATCACTGTTAGTGTACATTGCCTTGAAGCTCACTTTCTTCAGTTCATTTTCTGGTCCCTTTCTTGGCGAGCATTCTGCTGGTGTGGGAAGCTTTTCAGTGGGTGAGATGATCTGTGAGGTGGTTTGCAGGGTTTCAGGGGAGTTTGGGGTGAGGGGTGGGGGTTTCATGGAAGGGGGGACAGGTAGGGTGTGGGTTAAGGAGATAGGGGGGGGACATGGAGGATACGGGGTGAGGGGGGAGGAGGGATAGGGAGGGTATGGGATGAAGGGAGAGGGGGGACAGGGGGAGAAAGGTGGGAGGGGGGACATGATGGGAATGGGGAAGGGATGACAGGGTAAGAATGGGGTGGGGGGGGAGGGAGGGTTGGGTGGGGGCAGGTAGGGTGAGGGGAAGGGAGGGTTTCTATGCAGAGGGGGGTGGTGGGGTTGCCCTCCCCTTTGGTGTTGCTGGGGTGCTGGTTTTGGGTTCGCCTCTTGTCTCTAGGACTGTTGTGTTGGGGGCTGTGATTTCCTGGTTTGCTTATCCCTCCCTGTGCTTCCTCCTTGCCTCTGCTGCCCTGGCTCTCTCCTCCTTCGTCCTGTCCCTCTGCAGGAATACTTTCTTGTATCCCTCCACATGGTGCAGTCGAATCTTCCTTTCGAGAATATCCTCCTTCGTGGTTTCGTTTGTAAACACCACCTTTACAAGTCGGTTTCTGTCCTTGTTGTACCAGCCCAACCTGAAAACCTTCTCAATGTTTCGTTCAGCCCCTTCCATCTGTAACCCCTTCAGTAGCCCTTGTACTGCCTCTCTATCCTTGTTATTCCATTCTTGCCTGTTGGATCCTTCCTGTTCTTTGATGCCTACAACTATCACTGATCTTTTTCTCTCCAGCAGCTGAGTGGTGCACCTTGCTGCTTCCTGTGAGGTGGCTGCTTGCATCGCTACCTCCCTTACTGTGTCCATTGCTTCTGAGCTCTTTTTCAGTATGTCTGCAAATGTTTCAGGTACAGAGGCATTTCCTTCCAATGTAACATTCCCACCTTCCCTTTGGATGATAATCTGATGCTCGGTCTCTTTATTTTTTTCTGTGAGGGATTTGATCTCCTCCCTTGCTGATGTCAGCTCACTTTGCAGGTTGTTAATTGTAATCCTCATTTCCTGCATCTCCTTCCTGAATTCCTCCAGAACTTGGGTTAACATGTCCCTCGTTTGATCAATTTGGCTGTTCCCTGTGTCCCTGTTGCGTCCACCTGCCATTTTGCCCTTGTCAAGGGAGAGAGAGAGCAAGAATAGTCCTAGTGTGAGTGGGTGTGGTGGGGGGGGGGGGTGTTTTGGGAGAGTGGGAGTGGTGGTGGGGGGGGGGGGAGTGTGTTGGGAGAGTGAGATGGGGGGTTAAGAGATGGGTGAGGTGTAGTCTTCAGATTACGGCGGGTGGGGGAGGATTAGCGGCTTATCTGGGTTCCCAGTGAGCTCACAGTTGCTGTCCCTGTTACCTGTCTACCACGATTGTATTATTACGATTGTATTATTGAATGGAATGCAATAGTGTCTATGATATGATATTGATATGATATGATATGATATTATATGTGTGTGTGTGTGTGTGTGTGTGCGTGTGTGTGTGTGTGCGTGTGTGTGTGTGTGTGTGTGTGTGTGTGTGTGTGTGTGTGTGTGTGTGTGTGTGTGTGTGTGTGTGTGTGTGTGTGTGTGTGTGTGTGTGTGTGTGTGTGTGTGTGTGTGTGAACTCTGGGGAGGGAACACTGGGAGAAGAAACCCTAGGGGAGTGAGTATTTAGGGGAGGCAACACTGCGGGAGGGAACACTGGAGGAGGGAACACTGGAGGAGGGAACACTGGAGGAGGGAACACTGGAGGAGGGAACACTGGAGGAAGGAACACTGGAGGTACAGTCTTGAGTGGAGGAGCCCTTAGAGGAGCAGCTACAGAAGCCCCGCTCACATGTTTTGGTAACACCTGTTCACAAAATTAAAATTAATAACCAAACAAGCTGAGAATCTTTCGCTACAGAATACAAGCAGCAATAAGCTCATAAATCAATATACATACAGAGGAAGAAATGAATAAATGTCACATGTCAATCATAATAAAGTAATAGATAACACATGCAAATAAATATAAATAGTATTTAACACATGCCAATGACACTAAAGGAATAATTAACACATGACAATCAAAATAAAGGAACAATTAACACATGATAATCAAAATAAAGTAATTATTAACACATGCCAATCAAAATAAGTAATACTTAACACATGCCAATCAAAATAAGTAATAATTAACACATGCCAATCAAAATAAGTAATAATTAACGCATGTCAATCAAAATAAAGCAATAATTAACACATTCATATCAAAACAGTACTAGTAGTGGGCATCGATCACTCTCAGAATACTTTGCAGTTGCGCTCTGGTTGTCGGTCTGGAGTGACCTCATCAGGCAGCAAATCCAGGGTGGGTTGATATGGGGAAGAAGCTGTTACCCATGCAGCAGGTCCCACCCCCCTCCCCCTCTCCACGGCGCCGAAAGATTCCAACAGAAAGGTAAACCCCAGTACGATTTGTTCCAGCGCCGTCGCAGAAACTGACAGAACGAGGTTGAAGTCAACAACGAACTACCTTAGGGGCTCCAACTCCGGAGTTTACCTCGAAGGTGGTAAAAGAAGGCACAGGGCCTTCAAACCCGGAGACCGCCGTGGTCGGAGCCGGAGAAGAACCACCCCAGCAAGGGCAATAACGACCCCAGCCTCCTGAAACAGAGCCTGGGCCGCACGAGCCCCGGAAGGTGGATGACCGAGTCCCGCACCAACGGGTTCCAGACAGAGATCATCACAGCCCTCTTTCACCCGAGGCCGGCTTCCTTCAAGACCAAGCAGAAGGAAGAGTAATAAATAATAATACTCTAGCAAAATAAAGTATTAATAAACACATGATAATCAAAATAAAGGTGGAATTATTATATTTCAATCAAAATACCGGAATAATTAACACATACCAATCAAAAAAGTAATATATACCACATGCTAATCAAAATAGTGAGTCAATGAACACATGTCAATAAAATAAAGAATTAATTAACACATACCTAACAAAATAAAGGAAAAATTAACACATGCCAATCAAAAATAAAGGATTAATTAACACATGCCAATCAACAGTTCATTAAACTTGTCAGCTCTAGAGCTCTGACAAGAGAATTAAAATCCTCTCCAGAGACTAACTGGAGGAACCTGGTAATTAACTGAGGTGTTTGTGGAGGCCCCACAAGGCTCCTCACATTAATGAAGACAGATGTGACCGCCGTGATGAACCGAGAAACGTGTGGAAGATTATGCTTACCGTCAGCCCCCTGCTTTCGTCAGCCGTCCTCCAGCGTTCGTCAGCCGTCCTCCAGCGTTCGTCAGCCGTCCTCCAGCGTTCGTCAGCTGCCCTCCAGCGTTCGTCAGCTGCCCTCCAGCGTTCGTCAGCCGTCCTCCAGCGTTCGTCAGCCGTCCTCCAGCGTTCATCAGCCGTCCTCCAGCGTTCGTCAGCCGTCCTCCAGCGTTCGTCAGCTGCCCTCCAGCGTTCGTCAGCCGTCCTCCAGCGTTCATCAGCCGTCCTCCAGCGTTCGTCAGCTGCCCTCCAGCGTTCGTCAGCCGTCCTCCAGCGTTCGTCAGCTGCCCTCCAGCGTTCGTCAGCCGTCCTCCAGCGTTCGTCAGCTGCCCTCCAGCGTTCGTCAGCCGTCCTCCAGCGTTCATCAGCCGTCCTCCAGCTTTCGTCAGCCGTCCTCAAGCGTTCGTCAACCACCCTCCAGTGTTCGTCAATCGTCCTCCAACGTTCGTCAGCCGCCCTCCAACGTTCGTCAACCGCCCCCCAGCATTCGTCAGCCGCCCTCCAGCGTTCGTCAGCCGCCTCCAGTGTTCGTCAGCCGTCCTCTGGCGTTTGCCAGCCGGTGCTCCCACGGGTTATGCTTATAAACGCGAATGAGAGGAAAATTCCAAAGTTCATGTGCCAGAAATTTGATGCTCCGCTAGAACAGCCTCCTACTAGAACGGGTGTTAGGCTGCTCGAGTAAGTGAGAGGTTGGTGTAACCTCTTACTGTAAGGCTGTAAGAGGTTGCTCTTACTCGAGCACCTGTTAGGCCAGTCTCTTACTCTAAGAGCTGTTAGGTCAGCTTGATTCTCAAACTGTTAAGCCAGCCTCAAGCTGATACATGATGCAGAGTAATGCAAACACTTAATTGTAGTGATGGATATCTGCCCTGAGAGGTATACTCTGGACCTGGAAAATGTTCAGATCTGATCACACTGGTTGTTCAGTAAGCTCTTATGATGGCCATAATGATGGCCGTAATAGGTTGAGAAGCCTTAAGCCCACAACCCATCCTCCGAATTGACAGTACGGTTTAATACTAAGTGTAATAAGTACCTTTCCTTACTATCAAACATAGTACATAATTGCACTTATGGGGCTGTTAAATTTACCTCCCCATTTATTCTCCTCGTTTTCTGTAAAGACACTCATAATTTTAGGATGAAGTTTTCAAGTTCTATTCGTTTCAGCGTTTAAAGGCCCTAGAGCAGGCAAGCAGGGGGGGGGGGGGTAGAAGACAGGGGCGAAGATGCAGAAATCTTGAGGTAGGACCTGGAGACAAGTCGAAGAGTGGGGGGAGAAAAGTCGGTGGCCCAACCACCGTTGGTAAGAAATGCAACTGGCGCAGTGGTTGGGTGGTAAGGTGGAGTTCTCATGGTTGCTCGCTGATGTGTCTTACAGGAGGCAGGGCTTCTCGTTGCGGTGTTCTTTACAGCAATTCGTCGGTGTTCTACTGTTTACTTGATTTTCTCAGGCGCAGATCGTCGGTTTTCTTCTTCTTCCCTGGCTTCCTGGCCGGTCTGTTGGTCCTGCTACGCGTTGACATGGTGAGGCTATCGTTGGAGGTAGTGTCCAGCAGGAAATCTTCGGTAGTGTAGGGGTGCCTCCGTGGAGGAGGTGGTGTTCCAACCGAGACGTCCTCATCCGATGAGTCGGATGACTCATAAGCAGAGGCGGTGGATCTTGAGGGATGAGTTCTTGCTTGTTGAGGCTTCCTAGGATCAGCAGCTGATGTAGAACGTTCCGAGGGTCCGCACATTAGAGTTGGAACTGTGGCAGATGTCGATGGAGGAGGCGTCGGCGTCTGGGTGGCTTGTGATGATGTTGCTGGAGGAGAAAGCGTTACAGCTGTTGATAGCAGATCCGTCAGCTCGGCGGCGTTCACGGTGATGTCAGAGACCGGATCCGGATCTTGAGAACTAGAGGTTGAAGTGGTGTTGGTGTAAACTTCATCAGGAACTTTGAAAGCTGGAAGACCATTTGTTTTGTAGAGAATATTTAGAAGTCTAACATATCCCTGGGAGTTATTGCCAGCTATCATACTGGCCGCCTGTTATGATCTCAGACTGCTGAAAAACGAGTTTACCGCCATAGAGTTATTCTGTCAGACCTAACCTAACTAAGTGGTCAAAGAAATATAACCCTGGAAGTGTATAGTAAACACTCGATTGAATTTGACAAGTAGATAGAGAATATGGGCAGTGAATAAAAATATAAATAAATGACTTGACATGAGATGTAGAGAATTTGCTTGAGGCATGAGGCTCATTTTCAGAGAGTCTTGACCTCACTTGAGCTGAAGAAATCGTGATGGGAGATCGTGCTCCGACTGAGCCCCTGGTGAGGAAGAACCCCTGAGTGATATACCTTCAAGAAGAAAGAAGTGGGCAGACGTCTCGCTTGTAGAATAAGTCTGTGGACGTGTCAGCTCAAGTCATGGAGAAGGTGTTGTGGTGCAGTTAAAGCAGTTCTGTGGGTAGCTTGAGACGCCCTGAGTGTCACCGCCCAGTCAGTGACAGCAAGCGAGGGAGTCAAATTCTATGGTAAGCCAATTTTAAACCAGTTGACAGTGATTGCCTATAGTGGTTGTGTGCCCAGCGACCGTATCAAGTGCCTATTGATATATTAGGCATATTTTGTTAAGGAAGAAAGCCTAAATATGAGAATAGAGATTAGGTAGACAGCTGGAGGGACGAGCAGCGTGTTCTCTCCCGTCGAGATCATGGAGGCAACTGACGTGGGCTAGCAACCGGCTGCCTCAAGAGCGAGGAGTCCGGCGGGCGGAGGATAGACCAGCTCGGCCTGGCGGAGGATGGACCCGCCCAAACGTAGGGGAGTCCCCTCACAGCATGTGGGAAGCAGAGAGATATCGGATGAAGACATTTACTGTGGAGTATATTTTAGTTATTTGTTTATTGGGAAACATTTTTATTCGCATGTCAATGGGTTGCAGGTTTGTCTGGGAGGAAGGAGTTGCTGAGAACTTCGAGCCAGTAGAGGAAGAGTCAGTGGATGGAACTCCAAGGCTATTGAAGAAATACTGAACTCTATGGAAGAGCACCCCCATAGGAGGAGTAGCACCTCAAGTTGTGAGAGGAAAAGCAGTGGAGTGGAGTGTTGCGTGCCTGTGTTACCAGTGGTGAAGCACCATTGCTGTTTAAGGAAGACTTCATGGTGTAATAGCTGGAAGAGCTGTGGAAGACCCTGATAGACAATTCTAGGAGAACCTGAAGACGTTCAGGGTGGTGGGCCTCTAGGTGTAGAGAAGAGGTTCTTGGTGAATGCTTTGAGAGAGTCGGTAGAGTGACGAGTGTCATTGGCGTGCAAGATGCAGTGGAAGGTGGGTGATTGACCATTTTTGTACTGAGGAATAATTATACAAATGTTTATGTTATTGCAGCCATAGGCTGGATTCCCTTTGTATATTTATTTATATATATTCTAGGGCTGATAGCACCATATTGTATTACAAGAATTAGCCCACTTGGTGAGGATGGTAGCATAAGTGGCAAGCCAGGACTTGGGCTACCACTAGAGATAAGCAGCTGATAGAGCCCTGATGAGATTGGATGCAACCTGATTATAATGGTATAGAGTGTTGAAGTCATTTTTGTATCTTGTATATGCGTTGTGTATGTTCTCTGTCCATTAAATGTATACAAACAGCAAGTGTTTGCCCTTGTCCTAGTGAGGCTTCGCCGAAAGTAGAAAAGAGAGAGAGAGAAAGAACCACTGCTGTGGACAGGGTGATACAGAATTACAATTTAAAGAAAAGGGGATTGAGGTCATACAAATAAGGAGAGAGTGGGGGAGTCACAGCGGCTCGAATTGAGTGTGTGCACGTGACAACGAGGCCGGTGTTGGAGCCGCACCCCCCTTAATGTGTGTGACGCTGAGCCCCTCTCCGAGAGCAGGAAGCGTACAGGGTGATCTCCTGATCAAAGTATAAGCACTCTACGTGTTTTGGTTGGTTGTATGGTAGGGATGTATGCACCTACCTACAACAACGTAATACCGCCGTTGTCAACGCTTGTACTGTGCTGTACAGTGATTGGTCAAGGTGGACTGGAGGTGGCGATGGCTGGCTCGATGAGTGGCTGGTTGGTTGGGATCTGCGCCCTCAATGGCTGATAATAGCAGAAGCAGTTGTTTGTCCTTCCTGAAGCTCCTGGAAAATGGCAGCTTGAAAATTGAAAGTTGAGGTTGAGGTGGTCGCTGATTGGTTAGTTGCATCAGAGGTACTGGCTCTGGCAGAAGATGTGATTTTCTCCATGTTCTTGATGACTTCGTGTCTATGGGGACAACGAATGGAGATTGCAGGATGATCGCCATTGCAAAGCAAACAGCATAGTGTTTCTGACGTGCAGATAGAATAGCGGTGATCAGCTGAGCTGAGGCTACACTTCTGAATACGCTGGTTACATTTGTTGGTGGAGTGGGTGTACTCATAGCACTGGTTGACGATGTGGAAACGTTCCATCTTCAAGCGGAATGGAGGAATGTGGGATACCGAAGCTGTAGACACTATTTCTGATAGCCAGAGTAGCCAAAGCTACGGTCTCGAAGGTCAGCTTCAAGGAGCGATTTCTGTTGAAGAAGTAAGCTTCATGGAGCCCTAACCCCGGGTTGGAATCCTTGAAGTTGTGCATGAATGCTCTTTCATCTGCTTCATCTTGTTCCACGATAAATTGGCTGAGATCATGAATAACGACAGAGTGTGCAGCCAGGTACTGACGTGGGAAGTTGAGACGAAGGTGTTGACTGGAAAAATTGCAGCTGAAAAACAGAAGTTTGTCGATTTCCTCCTCGCTATAAAAGAAGAAGAGGATGTCCACTCCTTCCTGTCTGATGGTGTTAGGTGTCACTCCCGCAATGTCTTTAAAAGCTTCAGGAGGGATGTCTTGGAGAACGGGTGTTCATCAAGGGGGCGTTCCTCGGACCTTGTAGCGTTTGTGGTACATGGTGAACTTCCTGGTGGATGATGGGTCTCTCTCAAAGCAACCCGTTCTTGCACTTGATTATAGTCAATATCTTGCTTATGAATAAGTGTATATGTGACATACAAATTTATTGTGAATATATGAGTTTACCTTGAAAAGCTGAATAGAAAGCCCACAACCTAACCTAACCTTCTTAGTATGTTAAGATATTACAATTAGTATTGAACCTATACCTATATTGATATTTACAGTCTTATAAAAATAATAAAACAAAACTAAAATATTTAAATAAATTGTAAAGTAACTGAGGATAGTGTCAATTTTGTTTTTATAAAATCTCTATTGTTTAATTAAACTGAGAGAAAAAGTTAGTGCCTTGAAAAAAATATAACTTGGAATATGTCATATATGTACTAATTTATAAGCAAAATAGGGACTATAAGCAATAAGTCATATGTGTGCTGTCTTGTGCAAGAGCAGGTTGCCTAAAGACTACACATCACTGGAGATGCCTATCGTCTCTTCTCGACATGAAATGCAAAGTTGGATGTGGGGGGGTGTCTGACCATCCAGAAAGACGCAAGCCTTCTGCCAATTATTTACCCACCCTGCAGTGCTAAGTGCGAGAGAGCTGGAGCAACAAGAACACGTCCGGCTGTGATCT